CTCTTTTCTCCCTCTCCCTCCCTCTTTTTCGTCATCCCACCCCTCCCCTCAAATTCCGACTTTATCATCTCCTTCACCTCATTCTCCTGCAATTCTTTCCCATCCTCTTGCGATTCCTCATCCTTCTGCAATTCATCCATCTCCTCTTGTAATAGTTTTTTTTTAATATTTTAATGTGGCTGACATCATGCTAATGTCAGACCACTCGGGCGTTGGGTTCGACAATTGTGGTTCAATTGAGTAGTCAAACTCTGCTTCTTTTCATTGTAGCCCGATTGATTAGGTTTGGGGTGGAGAGTATTTGTGAGTTTTGAGGGATTCAATCGCCCAATGACGGGAAATTAGGAGAAGTGGACTTGATCTAAGAATTTCAGACAAGAATGAAGGTGCAGGTGGTGGGATGAAATCCCCTAGGTAAAGAGTGATGGTCATATCAGATCCCTTCTAAGAATTTTTTATATATAAATTACTAAAATTTGCCTAGTCTGTCTAGGCTCTGCTTAAGCGCTATGCATTAGCGCACATCATGCCACTCAACTAGCGTATAACGTCTTTAAAACCATATGGAACTATACTATAAGAAATGGTGCTGAAATCCTCCTTCAAATATTCCGGTTAGTCCAAATCCTTCATCGAATATTTCAAGTAGTCTAAATCCTCTTTTGAATATTCTAATTAGTACAAATTCTCATTCGAATATTCTGGATAGTTCTTAATAAAGTGAGGTCACTTATTTAATGAAGTATTGTCTAATCTTTCAGCATATCATGGACTTAGACCTCATATGGTTGTCTACATTTTGCAAGGATCTTTTAGCCTCTTAAATTTTGCCCCTCTTGAGAAATTTGGTGTGAATTGTAATATATTGGATGATTTACAAAATAGTACAAATGTTCTTATAAGGAGGACTCAGTAATGAGAATACAATATCAAATATCATAGAAATCTGCCATTAACCAAATATGGTCTCTAAACAATAGCTTTGCAATCTTTGATAGAGATAATCACAATCACAATATCAATTACAACAAATAGCATGATCAAACAAATAAGAAAGTATCTCGACATGCCCCATCAAGTTGAAGAGTGGATATCATACACTCTGAACTTGTCAAGTAGTTTTGAGAAAAGTAACCTTTCCCAAGGGCTTTGTATATAAGTCTGCCAATTGTGAACTTGTCGACATAAAGCAGTGGAAACCAACCCGATTTTAAGATGTTGCCATACAAGATGACACCAACTCAATATGCTTTGTTCGTTTGTGAAAAACAGAATTCTTGGCAATGTGTAATGGTGATTGGTTGTCACAATATAATTTAGCTGATCTTAGATGCTCAACAGCTAAACCTTTAAGTATATAATGAAGCCATGTGAGTTCATAACAAGTATCCGCCATGGCTCGATATTCTGTTTCAGTGGAAGAACACGCCACAATGTTCTGCTTCTTTGTTTTTTAGGAAATTAATGAGTTTCCAAGGTGTGTACAACATGTGTGATGTGGAGCAAATAATAATCCCAAAAATTCTCGAGATGGCAAGTAGACTCTTTGTTGAAGAAAACAAAAATGTCTTCATTAAATGGGCAGGGCCTAATAATATTCTCACGCACAGTTCAATATCCCTAGAGGCTTGAGTAGCATACTGTGACATCAACAAACTCCCATGCTCATGGCAAAGAGGAAAAGTCAAAGGATTCCTATCTTTAATATATTCATGATTGAAGACCAACTCAAACAACTAAGGAATCCTCATTATATCCAATCAAGGATACTTTTAAGAATATCCCAAGATATTATCTCATGATTAATATCTTGGAATTATTCTTTCCTCATCCATCATATAGGTGACACCTGGTTAATGGGAAGTTGCTATATGTAAGGCAGCCACCTCCTTATAAATACTTCATCTACACTAGTTTCTAGTAAGCTTTTGCTACGCAATTAAGCCTAAACATTCTTTTTTAAGATAAATTGACTTACACATTTGAGATCCATTGACCAACCCCCTACCTAATGGGCGCGTGTGGCTTTGGTCATTGATCAAAGGTGTTTATTTGTGTTGTAGGTATAAACACATCATGACTGAAGAAGGCAGACTTTTGCTACCACAAATTGGTTATTTCATTGAAGCCTGATTTAATGCTCGAAGAACGCTTTCGCAATTACTTTTTGAATTTTCTGTCACTTAAAATTTCTCACATACAGTAGTCATTGAACTTTTTTATAAGTTCTTTGACTAAGTCCCTAGACAAAGGATATGAAGGTGAAAAACTCTGAAATCATGATGAGCAACATTTCCTATGTACCTGGGTTTTCACCTATACGGCAGGCCACAGAGCCTTCAAGCTAGAAAAGTTTGAAGAGCATTCAAGTCAATTGAATAACGAATATGGCATAAAGAGAAGAAAGCATTTGGTTAAATTTCTAACAAATTGATAAACTTGCACTCACTCAAAGCCTCGAAATCTGACATAAGTAAAACAAAGCAAACTACTCATTAGCAACTTAGATGATCCCTGGCTCTCTAACAGCTACCTAGCCTTCAGCAGATCGCACCATCACCACTTCATTTTCAAACATAAACATTGGGGGTAGCAAGGATCTCTTGCGCTGAGCACTTTTCTCAGCCAAGACTTCAATATATTTCTGAAAGCAGCATAACTCCCACAAACAGAAGAATGCGTCCTTAAATTATTCTCAACTGAAGGTCTAGCAAGCAAGCCAACATACCAACAAGGCCCTATGTCTTTCTTGCGGCTCTTTGCTGTCGAGGCTCACCTTCACGGCTTCAACGCTGCACCGACCTAGGAGGGAACAATTATAGCAATTAGTGTAGCCCAACTTCACATGGTCCTCCAGCCTTATGGCCTATGTAACCCTGTACCTCAACTCTCAGCCATGCCATCCATTCCTCGGCCCTGACCGAGTTGCATCTATGCCTACTATCAAGTAGCCCTTGTTGCCATGTCACCCACTTGGGACTCAGCCTATTGCAATAATTAGTGCAGCCCAACTTCACACAGTCCTCCAGCCTTATGGCCCTCGCCACCCTATACCTCGACTCCCAACCATGCCATCTATTCCTCAACTCTGACCGAGCCGTATCTATGCCTACTATTAGGCAGCCCATGTTGTCATGTCACCCATTTGGGACTCAACCTACTAGTCTCGAGCTACCCTGCGACAAGAAGAAGAAGAAAGAAACTATTTTCTTACCTTTTGGTACAATAAACAACGATCGACTCTTCATAGGGCAACCAAAGAAGAAAATTGGAAAGGGGGAACAATATCCTAAGATTTTGTCTCTTTTCGTTCTGAAGAAAAAAGCCCTCTTGTTTTATTTAATCCTATACTTAAGGTAGAATTAAATAAAATATATAGGCAGTTGGACTTCATTTCCCAAAGACATTTACTACAAGTTAGAGCTTATAATCCAATGTGGTTGAAGAGCCCATTTTTGGCATACCTACTCAACTTGGACTCTACACCTCCTGCACCTCCTATGTACAACACAATAGGTGTGGGGGCATTTGTTGAGCAAAATATGGTCCCAAAAATCATGAAGACGACACGTGAACTTTTTACCAAAGAAGACAAGAATGTCTTCATTAAATGGGCATGACCCACAAATATTCTCAGGCACAATCCAATATCCATAGAGGCTTGAGCAGTAGACTACGACATCAACAAGCTTCCCTGCTCATGGTAAGAAGAAAAAGTCAAAGGGATTATAGATAGGAGAATTATTCTTTCCCCATCCTACAGATGACACACCTTGGTCAATAAGAAACCGCCATGTGTAGAGGAGAACTCTACCTCTATAGCCAACCACCTCCCTATGAATACTCTATCTACACCAGTTTCTCATAACCTTTTACTACGCAATAAGCCCTTAACACTCTCTTTTCAAAGAAATTGACTTAGGTATCGGAGACCCATTGGCCAAACCCCTTACCCCGTGAGCGAGCGTGGCTTTTGCCGTTGGTCAAAAGTGTTTATTTGTTTTGTAGGTACAAATACATCAACCTTAATGACGGCACATTTTTGCTACCCCATGTGTCAAATCTTGCAAGAATAGGTTTTTATAGAGACTCAGGATCCAAACTGAAACTATGGCGGTTACAAATCAATATTTAATAAAAGAAAGATAGTTTTCACAACCACTTTATAGCCTTTGACAACCTCTCTTAATTTTTATCATCGCATTAAATAAATCAAACAGAAACAATGACTATATTAAACATACATGTGTGAGAGGCTAAAACGGGCACATGATTACATTTTCTTAGTTTTCGCTATTCCACTTTTACTTTACACAAAATCATACTTTGCCCTATATACACTATACTATGGCTCACTTACATCCTATATTCATTCTCCATTTCTCATTTTGTCCTATTTCGTTAATTCAACTATATAAATCGTTAACTTGCTAATGTGACATGGACATTCTGGGAATTTTATTTAAAGAATTTTAAAAGTTAAAAAATATATATATAAATCTCCCTATACCCACCTCACTTCGTCTTCCCAACCCTCGAGACAGCCACCTGGAAGAACTATACTACCTTGCTGACTAAGTCTGATTCAAAGTTTGTTTTTTTTTTTTTTTTCCTCACACCTTTTTTTCAGAAGAGACATAGCCTTACTATTCATGTAAAATTTTCTATTTATATACAAGAAAAGCCCAACAAAAGCGTCGATCAATATGGGACACCACTACATAATAAGTTCATGCTAGGTGTATATCCCATCTTCTTTACAAGTTTTATTCAAGTAATGTGAGAAATTAAATAATTAACGACTGCCACATACTTTGCCACGCACGAATGAAGCAGTAATCTCTTCAAAAATTCACGGTCTGGGATAAGTAAAATTCATGATGATTAGTTTCCGTGAAAAAACATATATATAGTTAGTTAGTTAGTTAGTTATAGCACAAGCATGTTGCTAACTAGACATTGATTGAGATATACATAGAAAGACAGAGAAATCAAATCGAATGGCATTGCCAAGGTTTGTGGTCGTGAAATCAAACCATAACAGAAAATTCTTACGCTGCATGAAAGGTGATGGAGAGGAGAATGCGCCAGCCGGGTTTCTCAAATTCTCCGAAGAGGAGGCCAGCAGCCATTACGCAAAGTACGAAGTGGAGATGGCAAAGAATAGAGGGAATAAAGGGCTAGTCCACATTAGATGTTGTTACAACAATAAATACTGGGTAAGCGTGACGGGAACGCATATGTTTGACAACCAGGTTTTGATTGTTGCAGGGGCAGACGAACCCGAGGAAGACCAATCAAAACCCTCATGTACCCTCTTCGAAACCGTCTACGTGGATCCGATAGACAAGGACGATGATAATAATAATAATAATAATAATAATGGTAACAATAATGCCGACAATAATGATGGTGATCTTGAAGATGATAGTCAGGTGGTCCAATTTCGGCATGTCCACCTCGGACGTTATACCACCTTACACAACAGCTCGGACGCCTTAGTACTTTATGGAAGCTCAAACGCCGCAGCAGATGATCCTAACAACGTAGAGTCGCAAGATGTGTGCACAGTCGTGAATTGGGAATCGCTGGTGATATTGCCAAAACACGTGGTGTTCAAGGGAGACGAAGGTAGCTACGTCACAGCCCATATGGCTGACCGCAACCATATGGACCACGGAGATGACGAAGAAGATGGGCCGTATCTCCATTTTGATGGTCATGACGTATGTGATCCGGCTGCGACGCATGAGATCTTCAGAAACCCTGACGGAACCTTACAAATAAAAAACAGTTTCTTTGAAAGATATTGGAGAGTCGCCAAAGACGAGTGGATCTGGGCGGACGCGTTTAACCCAACCGCCGGAGACAAGAACTACAAAGACACGTTGTATCGGGCGTTTAAGCTTTCTGACAAAGTCATAGCTCTCATGAACGTAGGGAACAACAAGTACTGCAAGAGATACACATGGGGGATTACTGGTATGTGCGCCAACGTGTCTAATCTCTCCATTTATTCACACCTCCACATTGAAGAGCCTGTTAAGTCAAGGACCATCTACAATGTCAATTACCGCCTCGCCCATGCCAGGATCTACAATTACCAAAATGACACAGAAATCGCAGCCGGAGAAGCCGTGAACTTCACCCAAGAAACCACAAACGTACTACTCAAGTTGTTCTACAAGAAGTCGAATATTTGCAGTTGGAATGATATCAGTAGAGTCTATTCCATAAAACCAAAAACCAATGTTGAAGCCGATGGCGTTCCGCGGATCACGGGAGGTGACAACGGAGCGGTGAAGTTTGAGATTTCAGGGGGTGAATTTAAAGGAGAGGTCCAGTGGGGAGAAACCGAGACGTCCGAAACTCAAGTGGAGACTGTTTGCATGGTTGGTGTGCCGGCAATGAGTGTGGTGAAGGTGAGGCTGCTGGCCGCCAAGGTTTCATGTGATGTTCCCTTCTCCTACTCTCGTCGGGACACTGGTATCAACGGTCAAGTGCATGTTACTGATGACTTGGACGATGGTTTTTACAGTTGCATCAACGCCTTCAACTTCAAGTACGATATCAATGAAGAAAGGCTGTGATGATTATCAGAACGTACTGGTCATGATCATATATCGTTATTAATCATACATTTATTTCATTTTTGTTGAACGAAAAACTTCAGTACGGTTTCAGCTCTGCCTTTTATCTTCCAGCTTTTCCCTGTGCTGCATCTTCCGTGTTTCCAACACAGCAGCATCTTGCAGCAATCAGTTCGATCAGTTCCGCAGCCCTAGGTTGCATGTTGTTCCCAGGAATTTGCTTTTAGGGTTTTTAGGGTTCGGTTATTCCTAAACCCTAGGTTTTAGTTGACTTATTGATATATACTTCCCTTAATTAAGGAATGCTGTTTGATTACCCTCCATTAAGGTTGATTTTAGGGACGATTGCGTGTAATCTTCCGTTGCTGTTACTTGAAGTCCTTTAATCTCAAAACTCATAGTAAGAAAATACATTCAAAAGTCAAAACTAAGTTTTTCCACATGTTATTAAAGCAGTGTCTTTCTTGGGCATGACTGTGTTGCCCTTTTTCTCGTTGTTCTTCGAACTCAGCCATCAACATCGAAGAAAATTAAGAGGCTGCGAGCACACTGGTCCCATTCTCTACAAATTTTTCTGAGGTTGATATCAACCATAATAAGCTGAACATACTCTTAAGGGTTGCATGGTTTTTTAAAGGTTTTTCACAGAGCTTAATGAATCTTGCATATTATATTTAATTTGAACATAATATATAGATTGCATGTTAAATATATATTCTTGCTTGAACATAATGAGGAGAATATGCATTGGGAAAATCTAACCTTCAAAGCATGTATGTGGTAATTCATAAGTAATTGATAGAACTACATATGATTGTTAATCGCGACGACTAAACCCTAGTGCATTTTTATCATTTTTTAAAAACTGTGTACTTTGCAATTTAATTTGATTTTGTTAGGATGTCAAATCGCAGTATATCATTGTGACAAATGTAGGGCGGTGATAATGGAATTACTAGATAAGGGCGGTTGGTTGAGGTTGTTAGAGGGTTAGCTTAATGAGTAAGCTAAGGAATCACTATAAATAGCAACAACTGTAATAATGAGAGTTGTCTGTCACCTCTTTCAGCAGATCCCCTAGCTCGGCGACTTGGAGGACTCCTACTACATGGTTTGTATCGCGCTTGACCAAGCCTGAAACTACAAGTAAGCTTCAAGTGAAATTGATACATTACCTTGTGCATCTCCACCAGTTAAAGATACCACCCCTGGATGGAGGAAGAGTACTTCCAGAGAAGATGCCACATCTACCTACGAGACAGATAAGGCAAGTCAAGACGATACCACACTCCAGAACTTAGAAGTTTCGTGATTACGAGATCATTCTCCCACAATATTTCCTAATGTCATTTGTACTAAATCATTCACTAGTACTCACTAAAAGAGAGCTTGAACCTATGTACTTGTGTAAACCCTTCACAATTAATGAGAACTCCTCTATTTCGTGGACGTAGCCAATATGGGTGAACCACGTACATCTGGTGTTTGCTTTCCTATCTCTATATCCATTTATATACTTATCCACACTAATGACCGGAGCAATCTAGCGACGATCACAAAAAGCGACCGTTTTCGCTACCTAGGATCTATCTTGCAAGAGAACGGAGAATTAGATGGAGATCTCAACCATAGAATACAAGCTAGATGGATGAAGTGTAAGAGTGCATCCAGCGTGTTATGTGACCGTCGTAGGTCACTGAAGCTCAAGGGAAAATTTTATAGGACGGCAATAAGGCCAGCGATGTTGTATGGCACAGAATGTTGGGCCGTGAAGCATCAACACGTACACAAAATGGGTGTAGCGGAGATAAGGATGCTTCGTGGGATGTGTGGGCACACGAGAAAGGATAAGATTGTGAATGAGGATATCCGAGGTAAAGTAGGAGTAGCCGAAGTTGAAGGAAAGATGAGAGAAAATCGGTTACGGTGGTTTGGACATGTGCAAAGAATGCCTACTGACGCTCCGGTTCGAAGATGTGACTACGGAACAGAGGTTCGGGGCCGAAGGGGTAGAGGAAGACCTAGGAAAACTTGGGAAGAGACCCTAAGAAAAGACTTAGAGTACTTGGATCTAACGGAGGACATGACACAAAACCGAGCGCAATGGTGTTCTATGATTCATATAGCCGACCCCACTTACTGGGAAAAGGCTTTGTTGTTGTTGTTGTTGTAGTAATATAAATTACAGTACAATTGTGAAGATGTGAAGTTGGACTCTTAACATTGGTATCAGCCAATGATGATTCCTCTTAATCCTTCAGCATTGCATGACTCGCCAATCCTCCAGAATAGCCATGGACTCTCGAGTCTCGAGCCTGGAAACCATGATCGACGATCTCAAGAAGGGTCAAGAAATGATCATGATACAGCTACAATCATTGGGGTCTAAAGGTAATGGTGGTTCTTGCGATGGCGAATCCTCTGAAGCTACACTGAGTAATTCGGATCTGCAAGAATGAGCAAACCCTAATTTCGTCCAAAATTCAATCTAACAAATTCGACCGTCATTCTTGAAGATGGAGTTTCCTAGATTCATGGAGGAAGATGACCCTCTAGGCTGGATTTACAAAGCTGAGACTATTTCGACTTTTTTGGTATCGACGATTCGAACTTGAAGAGGGTAAATATGGCGTCTTTCCACATGGAGGGTGAAGCCCTTCAATGGTTTCAGTGGGCGAAGTGTCTCTCTAATTACCCAAAGTGGGTAGAATTCACGAAGGTGCTGTGTCAAGAATTCGGACCTTCTGAATTTGAAGATTCTGTTGAAAATTTGGTTAAATTGAGACAAACGGAACCCTCAGAGATTATTTCTTGGAGTTTCGCAGATTATCAAATCGCACAAGGGATATAAGCCTTACTCTTCTTAAGTCTTGTTTCATTGGGGGTCTTACGGCATAATTACGCCACGATGTGAAACTTCTTAAGCCAAAGGATATGCTTGAAGCTTCTTCCTTAGCCCAACAAATAGATGCCAAGCTCTCATATCTTAAGGTGAAAGCCTTGCATAAATCACCTTATGTTCCGCCTACTTTTAGATTTCCAGCTTTGAATAATGTCACTAATCAATCACAGTTTGATTCTCGACCCAAGTTTAATGTTGTTAAAAGGTTAACTCCTGAAGAGGTAGATCATTGTAGAAAGAATGGGTTGTGCTTGCATTGTAAAGAGAAGTATGTAAAAGGCCATTCTTGTGAGAAGAAGCAATTGATTCTCATTAATGTACAATAACAGGATTCTAAGGAATTACTGATTGAAGGAATGGAAAATGAAGAACCGGAAATCATTGCGTGTGCGTTGTTTGGCACCCTGCACCTGCTTCAATCAATACTATAAGGCTTAAGGGTTTCATCAAGAATTGCTCAGTCACTATTCTTATTGACTCAAGCAGTTCACACAATTTTGTTGATCTGGGATTAGTCAAGCGTTTGAGAGGGCAATTGGATACTAGTCATATTTTTAATGTGAAAATTGCAGATGGTGGTCGAGTTACTACTAAAGGGACTTTGGCTCAAACAACCATTAAGATCCAAGATTATAGTTGTACAACAGACTTGTATGTGATTCCTTTAGGTGGCTGTAAGGTGGTGTTAGGAGTTCAGTGGTTGCGAACCCTTGGTCCAATACTTTGGGATTTTGATAAATTGTATATGCAGTTCTCGAAGGCTCCCAAACCTTTTGTATTACTAGCTCAGGGTCTGCATTAAATCAAATTGAGAATGTTACAGCTATGCAAATGCAAAAGCTTCTCCAGCAAGAGAGCATAGTATGAGCAGTATTGTATCAAATGGAACCAGAGCTATTTTATGTGCATTCTATGAGCCATTCTACAATTGACAACCAGTTCCAACATCTTACTGAGCAACAATAAAAGAGTTTGCATTCATTACTTGAGAAATATGAGGTACTGTTTTCAACTCCTAACACTTTGCCCCCATATAGAATTCATGGTCACTGAATTCCTTTAGTTAAAGGACATAAGCCTCCTAATAGTCGACCCTATAAATATGGTCATGTTCAAAAGTCTGAAATAGAGAAATGTATGCATGAGTTATTGTAAGCTGGGTTCATAAGGGTAAGTAATAATCCTTACTCATCTCCAATCATTTTGGTTCAGAAAAAAGAAGGAACTTAGAGAATGTGTATGGATTATAGGGGTTTAAATTTGATTACCATCAAGGACAAATTCCCTATACCTCTTATTGATGAATTGTTAGATGAGTTGTTTGGAGCCCAGTACTTTTCAAAACTGGATCTTAAAGCTCGATACGATCAGATTCGAATGCATCCTAATGATATAAAGAAGACAACTTTTAGAACACATGACGGCCACTATGAGTTTCTAGTTATGCCATTTGATTTAACTAATGCTCCAGCCACTTTTCAGTGTTTAATGAATACGATCTTTCAACCATTCCTAAGGAAGTTTATTCTCTCTTTTTTATGACATCTTAGTATACAGTTCAATCTTGGGAATCTCATATGCAGCATTTGAAAGTTGTCTTTGGTATTCTACAAAACCACTCTTTTCGTGAAGAAGTCAAAGTGTGCATTTGGGAGAGATAAGGTGGAATACTTATGTCACATCGTGTCTAAAGAGGGAGTTGCTGCAGATCCTACAAAACTAGATGCTATTTCAAAATGGCCTATTTCTACCTCTGTTGAAGGCTTAAGGGGTTTTTTAGGATTGACTGGATATTATAGGAAATTAATTCCCAATTTTGGCAAGATTGTTGGCCTTCTCACTACCTTAACCAAGAAAGACAACTTCAAATGGTCAGAGGAAGCTACTAAGGCATTTCACATTCTCAAGGAAGCTATGTTGTCTCCGCAAGTCTTAGCTTTACCTGATTTTAGCAAACCCTTTATAATTGAAACTGATGCTTCAGGTCATGGAATTGGGGTAGTATTGTAGCAAGAAGGCAAGCCAATTGCTTTCACAAGCAAAGCTCTAAGTCCTCGAAATCAAGTTCTCTCAACCTATAAACGAGAAATGTTGGCCA